AGACGTGGATAATTGTCGGCAGCAAATTACAATCTTGTCATAGAACTTTCAAAGAAGAGATTATGGTTGTTGAAGCACTTGACTTTAGGTTGTTGATGTATTACTACAATCTAAACCAGAATAATCAATAAGCTTCGTGTCCATTTATATTTTGATATATAAGTAATTGATTGACAAATCAAGTAATCATCAAATAGATTTCTAAGGTAACCCTCAGCTATCTTAGTTTTAGACGAAGCGATGTTTTTGCATTGTAACTAATATAAAGTATCAAGGGGCATAACTTAAAAAAAAATCTTAGGGCTATTTTCCAAATTTACAATTATCACTAAGTTTCCTGAGAAAATTCTTAAATTGTGATGAAAAAAAAAAGTTATTCTACAAAAGAGGTAATTTTTGAAGTTGGTTCCAGACTTGTGATCTTCGCATTTGTGAAATGCGAGTTCAGATACCTCGCATTTCACAAAAGCGAGGTAATTGTTTCCAGAAAAAAAGAAAAAGAAGATTGCATTCGGCAAATGCGAGCTTATTAAGCTCGCATTCTGCAAATGTAAGCTCGCATTAGGAGAATGCGAGATTATGTACCTCGCATTTCTTAAATGCGAGGTACTCGATCTGGAAACAATCAGAATTCCCAATTTCGCATTTTTCTTCAGTCTCACTCTCCCTTCACTCTCTCCGTGCAGCCAAAACTCCTTACTCTCAAAATTATCTTGGTCTGAGCTTTCTCATCGGAAATCAGAGTCACAGCTTTGTCGTCGGAATCTCTCGGCCTTCTCCTCGGAAGCTCTTCAATTTTGTAGAGTTGCGGAGTTTCTCCTCATGCGAAATCAGAAAGGCGGCATTTCTTCTCGTCCGAAGCTCTCATCGGAAGCATCGGAAGCTCTCGGCCATTGCAGAGCTTCCCCTTTGGGAACCCATCTCTGGTAGCTAGCTCCATTTAAGTCCGGCATCCGGCTTTCTCCATTTGCCATTCCTTTCACCAGAAACAGCACAAGAGGTAATTATTAAATTTTTTTCTGAGTTGTAATTTTTTTCTGGGAATTTTTGTTTTCCGAATTGAAGTGGCTTTTATGATTTGGCAATTTATTGGACATTGTTGTTGTTTCGGTTGGTCTCTTATTTGGACATTGTACATTGCTTGTTATCAGAGCTAAGTTTCTTCTTGTGGTTGATTACAAGAATGGTCTGTCCTAAGAATGTCTAATGATAAATGTAGACAATAAAAGATAAAGCTTTTGCATTGATAATGCTGATCCTTTAGGATCACTAAGAGCAAAAGAAATTGTTTTTCCCTTTCCAATACGCTTAGCAATCTGCTGAACCACATCAGGTTGCTGTTCTAGTCAGTTACTTGATTGTCCTCTGGTCATCTCAACTATGTGGCTTTGTACAAGAAAAAAAACTGGTGCAAAGTCTCTGGCATAATTAGAGATAATTAATCGGACGTAAAATTCATATTTGATGTCAAATTTGGATGCAAATATCATGTGGGTTGTGCTGCTTTTTCCATTTTTTCTGGTGAGTCTGAGGAAATATCTTCTTGGAGGGGAAACCCTTGGGTAAGTCATGTAGTTTACAAGTAGATTTAATTGTAGTCATATTAATGTTCTAATTTTTTGAACTTTGCTTGGATTCGTTTTATGGTGAATTCATGAATGTAAAGTGAGACCCTCTACTGTAGTATATTTTTTAATTGCATGTTTCAAGGAGGACAGGGGAGTATAAGAAATTATTGTTGTTTCACATTCTACTATATACATTATATTATTATTGTAGGTTTGTCAAAATATCACAGTTGCTTGTCTTCTACAAGAAATTATTGTATATCACATTATTCTACCGTATTTGTAGTGGTCTAAATTATCTCATATTTCTCAATTGTTTGAAAATCGATGTGCCTATGTTGGTTGGCAGGGAGTTTTAGCCCAGTTACAGGGGAGATTCTGTCAAAATTTTTTTAAAATATTTTTGGGTGTTTTTGGTTAGTGATTGCCTTAAGAATATAATAAGACAAATTGGCTACAATATGGACTCGAAAGGGGGGGTGCTTGGAAACGTTAAATAAAACAAGATAAGCATGTATTTAATAAACTTATATTCAATTTAATTAGGAATTCTTGAATAACATTTTGGCATGATGCGTAATAATGTATAGGGGGTTAGAGGGAATATTAACTAAAAATATTAACTAAAAATATGTATACAAGACAAGCATGTATCACATTTGCTTGTACTACTAAAATATTAACTAAAATATTTGTACCATAGTCTTGTGCTACTAATTCTAATTTATTTTTCCAGTTGCAGAGAATGGACACTCGCTTGGCACGTATAAATGATCATTTAGGCATTACTCCACCTCAGGGTGGAGCTGCAGATGAAGATGATGATTGAAGCTGCACCATTAGGATCACTATATTATTTGTACATGGATTTGCTTGCATTTTGTTTTTAATCTATGGAATGTTGGATGTTTAACTTGATTTTACTTTTTCTGTTTTTTAATTTACTAAAGACTTGTGCTTTTGCAGTGGTTTGTGATTATTGGCTGACAAGTTGTTGGAAATATTGCTTGGATTAAATGTTGTCTGTTTTGGGTTTGCTGGCAGGGAGTTTAGTCCACTTTTAAGGGGAGATTCTGTCAAAAATTTTCCAAAAAAAATTTATATATATATTTAATCATAATAAATTACAATAAACAAATAAAATGTTTTTCAAATATCCTAGTGAAATAAATATATGTGGTTTGGGAATATTTTTTCTCATTTAACTTGAAAATGATTATTATGTGATTATAATTTTTGCATTTATAGGAAAGTATATCTTTTAATCTATAAGATAAATAATCACATAATAATCATTTGATAAATAATCATTTCGCAAATGCGAGGACCTCAATCTGAGCACAAAGCCAAAGCTTGTTTCCAACCGCATAAAGAACTATACATGTATAGTTATTTCTTTACAAAATTATTTAATAATAAAATTAGGTGTTTTCAACTGTATGATTATCAAATCTTTTAATCTATAAGAAATATAACTTTTTGGTTATTTATATAAAAATAATTACTAGTACATAAAATTTTGTACTGAGACCTCACATTTGTTAACTTCTAACTCGTGTGAGTTTTAAAATAAAAAGGATTTATTCCTCTATGATAAATTTCAATGCAAAAACAAAAATGATTGTGTGCTCCTAATAAAAAAAAATTTGAATATAATTTTTTAGGAATTCGCTTTTATCGGATGTGAGATACAACAAAGCCGAAAGCATACTAGTTCGGTTAAGATTTATTGCCCCAAATTATTATCAAGTATTGATGGCAATATTATGGGATCTTTTTTTTTTCCAATTTTGATGAATTTACAGCCTTAGGTAGTAAAATTTGTAGAGATTTTCATTGCAAATTGTAAATCTTTTATAATTTGCAGTGAAATCATAAAGCAAGGGAAGGCCTGCATTGGAACTGAAGCAAAAAGAAAAATCATGGCAAAATCTAGATTCATGTTCTTGAAAATAATTTGAAGATGGTAAATAGTGAATTTTGGCTCCAGTTTCATCACTGGCATGATGAAACACGCACGGCTTCTAACTTATGTCAATTGTTTGAGCAGCCTTTTTATGTAAAATTGCAGCTTGCTCACGCTCACTGGACCAGGGGCTTCTTTCGTCACAATGCTCGCTAAATGCGAGCTGAGTTGCCTGGGCGAGAACCTCGCATTTACCTGGGCGAGAACCTCGCATTTGTTAAATGCGAGGTATATGACCTCGCATTTGTTAAATGCGAGGTCTGTTTTTCTTTTTCTTTTTTTTTTTATTTGGATGCTAGGAAAATTCAGGGAGACCTCGCATTCAGCAAATGCGAGCTCCTTGAGCTCGCATTTGCTGAATGCGAAGACCCCTGGACGGAATCCCCGACAAAAAATGCCCCCTTTGTAGAATTTTTTTAAAAATCATCATAATTTTAGAAATTTCTCTAAGTTTCCTAGGATGAAAGTATTTAACCCCTGAAAAGAAAATTGTCCTCTAATAATATTTGGATATCTGAATCTGCTACAGACCACTGCATGATGAAGCTCCATTAGAGTGAAGTTGCAGGGATTCATGGCCTTGTTTGGCAGACAAGTTTTTTGTCAAGTTTGTCTGCTACAAGTTTTTTAAAAACTTTAATTACAATAAACACAAAAAAATTTTCAAAAATTTTAAATTATAAACTTCAAAATATTTAAAAAAAAACACAATTCAAAAATTTTTTTAAAAACTTCTACAGTAAACTACAGTAAAATTTTAGACAAACACCCGAAAAACTCACTTGGCAACCAGGGGCATTGTCCTGAATGTAATATTATTTGGTGCTATCCACAATTCTCCAACACCAACAGTTAAGGACCACAGACATAGAACAAATATTAGGAGATACAAAAATCTCATGACAAGATTTTTGGCTAAGACTTGATTACCATTTCTTCCAACAAGAGATTTAACTGTCTGTCCGTCACCAGGGTCCAGGACATTCTTTCAAGTGGGAAATAAATCAAGTTTGTTTATTCACCGACGCATCATGTACATTATGATATCATACGCTTCAAAGATTAATTAGAAATGCTATACCTATCACCTACGTTTGTCAATGTTGTCATTGGTGAGTGGAATGGAAAAAATATGGACTTCGTCAAGAGTTTAGACTAACTCGTACAGGATAGCAAACGTTAGGACTGGAATTTTCTTTTGTTTCAGAAATCCATCAAAAACCTGTGTACCAATCTTAATCTTCTAAGCTCTATGGGAGACAGCACAAATTGAGAGTGATGGTAAACTTAGATGTGTATTTGTGCAAATTGTAAAATCACTTCGTGGGGACGTGGCGTAAATTAAATTTTGTTTATGCATGTGATTTCAACCACTCCCTTTTCCGACACTTTTAAACTTAACTCCTACTTCATTTGAGTATCATCCCTATAAATAGCTGCCGTTTCTTGGATTCAGTACACTCACAAGTCAGAAACATTCTAAACATCATGGCTACTCACAAAGTTCTCAGTTTTGTCTTCTTTGTTTTATTGGGCATAACAATATGTTGTGAATGCAGGTCACTCCTCACTTTTGGAGGAGGAGGCTACAACGAAGGTTCGGGTGGTGTTCCAGGAGGGGGTGGCTTTGGCCATGGTATTGGTGGTGGTTATGGAGCTGGTTATGGCCACGGTGGTGGTGAAGGGGCCGGGGGTGGTTACGGTGGAGGAGGCTATGGAAACGGTGGAGGTGCAGGAGCCGGAGGTGGTTATGGTGGAGGAGGCTATGGAAAAGGTGGCGGTGCAGGAGCTGGGGGTGGTTATGGTGGGGGAGGTGAGGGCGGAGGAGGCTATGGAAAGGGAGGTGGTGCTGGAGGTGGAGGTGGTTATGGAAAGGGTGGCGGTGCAGGAGCAGGGGGTGGTTATGGTGGAGGAGGTGAAGGTGGAGGAGGCTATGGAAAGGGTGGTGGTGCTGGAGGTGGAGGTGGTTATGGAAAGGGTGGCGGTGCAGGAGCAGGGGGTGGTTATGGTGGAGGAGGCTATGGAAAGGGTGGTGGTGCTGGAGCTGGAGGTGGTGAAGGTGGAGGAGGCTATGGAAAGGGTGGCGGTGCTGGAGCCGGAGGTGGTGAAGGTGGAGGCTATGGGAAGGGTGGCGGTGCTGGAGCCGGAGGTGGTTATGGTGGAGGAGGTGAGGGTGGTGGAGGCTATGGGAAGGGGGGTGGTGTAGGTGGTGGAGGTGGATATGGTGGTGGAGCCGGTGGGGGTGCTGGTGGAGGTTATGGTGGAGGTGAAGGAGGTGGTAAGGGAGGCGGTTATGGAGCTGGTGGTGGATATGGAGCTGGAGGTGGACATGGAGGAGGTGCTGGAGGAGGTTATGGAGGAGGAGGACCTAGTGGAGGTGGATATGGCAGTGGTGGAGGAGCAGGTGGTGGATACGGAGGTGGTTATGGAGGTGGAGCTGGTGGTGGCTATGGAGGTGGTGCTGGTGGCGGTTCAGGCTATGGTGGTGGACATGCACGCTGAGAACCAATGCGTGCATTTTATATCTACGCTTTGTTAGGGTGCTTCCCAACAATAAGTATTATCAAAGCATCTGTTTTCATTTGCCAGTTTAATTCAGAATTTCATGGATTTCAGCTCCGAAGAGTTTTAAGTGTTTTGGTTATTCAGCTGTTCCCTTGGCTGCTGAATGTAACCGCACTTCATTTTAAATATGTATCCCTTGTTTATGTTTCCAAAAAATAACAATAATAAAAATAAGTACCCCTTGTTTAATCTAGTACATCTTCTCTCTTATGTTTGCTGATTAATTACCCCTTGTATAACTCAAAAAGTTCGATATATATATATATATATATATATAGACATTTCACTTTCATGAAGCATGGCAAATAAACATATATGTAATACAACATGGTGAATGTGTGTTAAAGATTGTCGATACAGTGACAAATGACAAGGAGATTATGTGAACAATGAGGTGTTGCACATAAACATATGACCTAAAGGATTGTGTATCCATCTCTACACCAAACCTTTCTTCTTCCTCCTCATTAACATCATATCTTTTCAATTTTACGTGTTGAATCGGTGAAATAATAACTGTAACATTTTTTTATATCTTTTAACGTACAAGTCGAAGGAGAAAGTATAGGCTATTAATAATTCAGAAAGCAATCATCACAGCCGTGAGAAATTTAGACCCCATAAGTTGTAGTACCTAATGCAACATAAATTTGCGACGGTCGGCAAAATCTCTGTGAAATTGAATGTCTCTGAACTCGATTTGACTTTTTTTTCGAAAAAAAAAAAAAAGAGATCAATAGTAATTTCTTTGCTAACTCTTTTGATAACTGAAAACCATGATCAATCAATTATAAGTGAAGCGTTTCACTATTCAGGTTGCACGTGTGAGTAAAATTATTTAGTAATATTCCTTCTACTTATAGAAGAAGATTAGTGTGAAGGAGTTAGTTAACATGCTCTTTGTAGAAGAAGTCAAGTAAGGAAGATATTGGCTGTAACTTCGTCACTAAAAATTGGCCTTGCGAATTTGAAAATCATCATGTTCGCAATTAGAAACTCAAACAGTAACAAAATTGACATACTTAAGATTTGCCTTTTATATTTAGTTATTTGTTAGATTACAGTATTTGAGAATGTAGAATCTCAAAGTAAACAATACAAATTTTGGGCTAAGGTTCTATATCCAAACTTTTACCCAAACTAGATGCCTTACTAATTAATACAACCTTTTGCTGTAAAAGCGTACTAATACAACCTTGTGTCTCAAGGATTAAATTTCTGATACTTTGCGACGAACCAACGAGTTTGATTTGTTACCATATCTGACCAATTATTCGGAGTTGTTATCAGCAAAGGGTGAATCCAAAAATTGTAACTTGGAGGGGAAAAAAGAGACTTGGATACATGTGTATCTGGGTGAAAATATAACTACATTTGTAAAATCTTAGGGGGGCAGAGTGCAATTTTTAAGAATCTATTCATTAAATTTGTTGATCTTTTGACCGTAGATTATATAAACTAGTGTGCAAGACACCTTCGATGTGTGTGAAATTACTTTAAAAATATATAAATTTTGAATATATATATATATTTTAAAAAAAATTATAGAATTTTGTTGAATATATTTGTTATAACCATTTCCATGAGAACTGATTTTACAAGTTGGCTAAAAAATATTAACCATAATAAACTATGTAACCATAACAAATAATAGTTACCTTTAATCATGATTAGTAGTTCTAAGAAAATTCAAGATTTATCAAATAAGTTGAGAAAAAAAAGTACATTTAAAGCAAATATGTAATTACATGTTTATGTTATTAAAATTACTTTTTACACTGTTGGAATTTTTGAGCGGAGAGATGAGCTGAGGCGTTACTAATGGATACTTTATTAAGGGTAATTTAGCTAGAACATAAAGCAATCAAATGTGTTTAAATCAAACCCTCTTTCCCCTGTACAACAATTAGTGGGTATGCAAATTAGAAAAATGGGTGAACTTTTCTATAATTAAAAAGTCGAAGTTATAAGTACAAAGAAATTTTTTTTTTTTTTTTAAAAAGACTAAGTTATTTGAAGTAGAAGGTCTGCCCTTGAAGAGTTAGATAAGTAAATTACTCCTATATTAGTAGAAATTGCAAGCCTAAGCTTGGCCTTTTATGGAATAAGAGATGGTTGCATATCACTCCATTATATAAGGATAAAATTTGGGTAACAAATTAATAATGGCAGAATTATTTAATGCCAAACCCTGCACTCGTGCAGAAAAGATTAGTGAAAAAAGCACACCTTATAGGTGTGCAAATTTAAAAAAGAAGAAAAGGTAGAACTATTATGTAATGAAAAAATGTAGTAGTTATTAGTTCAAAAAAATTAAAAGAAAAAGAAGAGTACAGGAAAATTAAAATGAAAGTAGCTGGACGTTTGGTAGGTAAGTAGAGTGATGGGATGACTGTATAGTTTTTTCTATCATGCAAGAGTAAAATTGAGATAATTAATAATGACAGACTTTTTTTAACACCAATTCCAGGACTCGTGGATTATATACAAGAAGACAACAAATAATGGCAGAATATTTTAACGTCAAATTCAGGACTGGTCCATTTATATATAAGAAGATATATATTAGATGATGCCCACATGGTGTCTACTCTTTTGGTTTTTGACATAATCTTCACCATCAAAATTATGACAATTACTTCCATATATAGTTCGATTAAGACGATAATCTACTATAATCTATGACTAAATGAAATGGAACCCTTTTTTTTTAACAAAGGAACTCACAACCGCTACTCGAAAGTGTGCATTGGATAAATAAATGAAATGGAACTTATCCATGACTAACATACTCATCAGGTTCACAATCTACCTTGAACAGTTAATATTCCTCTACCAGGTTAAAGATTGAGAAAGTAAGAGTTTTCATAATTCAATTGCGATTAGTAAGAAATTGAGAATGCAAAGCGTTCTAGAAAGTTAAATCCTAACTTAATAATACCAAATAAAAACTTAAAATATAAGCTCTGGTCCACAGGTAAATCGAAGCTTATTTTTAATTTAGTATGGCAGGCAAAGTTGCTCGGCTGTTATCCATAGTCACACAGGTTTCTTGTAATTTTAGGTCGTGGTATTGATGAAAACTGTTTATGATCTGTGAGGAAATTAAGAAGGGTACTAAGAGCAAACTTTCTGTCAATATTTATGTATCAATCAATAAAAAAAAAATGGTTTTCAAGATTTGATTGCTTCAAGTCAAATGCTTGATACAATAGAGAACTACACTTTGAATTTGTGAACTTCAGAATAGCTTTACGTCTCTTTTTTAACTTAACTATGACTTTATTAACAATATAAGTCAATTATATAGTTAGCTGATATATAAGTTATCATTTTTAATAAATATTGCACATTTCTAGCATTCTATTAATTTTTAAATTAATAAAGTTGAAGTTCATGGGCTTACACTCGAGGCTTTCACCTTGTCCAAAAACAGCATAAAACGCCCTATCCATGCCACTGCCTTTTACACATTGTTACAAATTATAATTATTGCTAACTTCGACAACACCCTAAAACCATTTTTCTACGAGATCACAATTATCTGAAAATAGAATTTTCTGCCGACGCCTGCACATTCTTTCAAATGAAAAAAAAAGTTTGTTTATTCACCGACTGATTATCATGAATAAGATATCATACACTTGAAAGATTGTTATTGCTATGTTAAATTTTGTCAACTTCGTCCTTGCTGATTCAACTTGAATGAAGTGGAAGAATTTGACTTGATGAAATTCTAACTCTAACTTGTACAGTATAAGAAACGTTCGGTCTAGATGTTACATTTTGCTCTATTTCAGAAATAAAATGAAAATCTTTGTGCCAATCTTAATCTTCGAATTTCTATGGGAGACAGCAAATTCACACCACACATAAGCATGCAAATAGCTAATGTAAGAGTTGAGAGTGATGGTAAACATAAGTGTTTGTGCAAATTGCAAAATCACATTGTAGGGACGTCCGTCCAACTCTCTCTTCATGCATGTGATTTCAACCACTCCCTTTTCTCGTACGCGCTTCTAAACTTAAACCCTCTTTCGATTGAGTGTCACCCCGGGCCTATAAAGAGCTGCCATTTCTTGTGTTCAGGACACTCACAATTCAGAAATATTCTGATCATCATGGCTACTCACAAAGTTCTGAGTTTTGTCTTCTTTGTTTTGCTGGGCATAGCAAATATGTTGTGAATGCCGATTGACGTGCGCGGAGTATACATATACAATTAAGCTCATCCTAATCAAGTTTTACATTTATAAACTCCTAAATACCCCACACGCGATTTATCGCAAGTATACGAATCGTGAGCGAGTATAGGGTATTAAGGGTCGATCCCACAAGGAAGATTGCAATTACCGGTACTACTAAAGCTTCTCTATTATTTAGACTATCAATGAATTATAAGAAATTTAACCTACTGAAATTATACAAAATAACAAATAAAAGCTCCTTAGGTTGTGGTATCCCTAACTACTCATGCAAGTGCTATATTTGGATCATTGAATACTACATCTAGGCTAGTTATGGTGTAATTTCCTTAAACATGTGAAACCTACTTTCGTAGTGAATCAACTATACTCATAACTAATCCATACCTATTTTCATGGTTATGAAATTAGCTACAAGTTCATTTCTTCAATGAAATTACATGAAATGAATCACTAAAAACCACATAAGTGCACCTCTACTTTCGTGAGTGTACTCCCTATGTTTAGCACTTTTTTGAACTAGTGTTAAATCTCAATTTCCATTGCAGAAACAACACCTTAGATAATCACAATCAATGGTACCAGATTAATCATGATTTAAAGAGCCAAAGTGCTAAATAACTTGCTCAAATCATAGCAATCAAATAACCAAATAATAAACACTAACAATTATAGAAAGTTCAACCAAACCCAAGGTATAAACTTTAGAAACACATATTGAACACAAAATCCAGAACTTGTATATTAACTAAACTTGGAATCAAATACAAAAGATAAAGAGTTTGGAAGGAATACAACCCTTGTCACATGAGCTTTCTTCCTTGCCTTCTTCATCCTCCATCTTCATCCTAATCTAGATAATAAACAAGAATGGAAAAGCTACACTACTCTATACTAAGCTAAACTAACACTAGGGAGATGAAAGAGCTACATTTCTGCAGCTTCAAGCTCTCCCGTAGCTCACTCTCTA